CCACGTGGCCCTTCTAAACCTTATTTTTTCTATATATTTTTAATGTTTTCTTGATGCTTTTATTTACTTATTCACTTATTGCACATAACTCATCCCCCTACCCAAATAGGCCTCTCATAACAAATAAATAGAAGGCAAAACAATTCATCATATTGAACATACACGAAGACATATGTCTTATTCTTTACCCTGGTCCAGCATGAGGGTCAGGCACATCTTGAGAGTCCAAGATAGCGCCATCCCTAACTGGTATTTAGAGTTGTGCCTGCCAGTGAAGAGTCCTTTGAGAGAGAAATTTACTCATTTGCCCAAAGAGGAAGAAAGGATTCTTTAGGCTGCTGCCCGGGCTGATAATGGTGCCTTGCTTTATTAATTCTTTTTGTAAAGGCAGCTTAGAGTAATGGGAAAAGCTTTTGATTTTGGACTCAAGACCTGGATTTGAATTTTAACTGCCTAGGACTTGGGCATGCTCCTTCTCTCTGGATTTTAGTTTCCTCATCCATGAAATGAGATTGGATGAAATGATCTGTTAATTCCCTTCTGGCTCCAAAACTTGGGATCATATGGAGGGAAGACTACTTAAAAGACCACAGAAACAGGAATTCTTTGTTACTGTTCTTCACGGAGGACATTTCTCCAATATCTGTTACGTAGTTAAGGAGACTGACTTGTTGCCTCCATGACATATTTATAGGTTCTTGCCAATATCTAGATTGGCATTTTGATATGTACCAAATTTGGGGATTTGACTGAAAGAATTAAAATTATTCATTCAAAATCAAAGTCCATAAACTTTAAGCAAGTGGGTTGGAATGAACATTTTCTTTTAAGGCATCAGGCGGATTCTCTATATCCATTCCATTTTTTTCATTCAGAGCACTTGCAAGAGATCTTGACTAGTTCTCCTGGGAGGGAAGAGGTGTAAAAAGAATAAAATGTTCACCTCACCCTCATTGGTCATTTCCTTTTAATTCCTATACACCCAGGGGTGGAATGCCTCACATTTCAAAGTAGGTAGTATTTTAAAATCATGCATATGATAAAGCACAAATGAGAGTTTTGCTCACAAGAGTATAGAATCATACTCCAAAGTAGCTAGACCTTATGTCTCTGGGCAGGGCTTTGCCAGAAACAGTTAACAGTTAGAGGTTGGCCACTTTGGAAGCAACGTCATGGCCTTCCATGCACTTCCATTATTTGGTCACCTTTCCTAGCATCAGGTTTTTCTTGTAATTAATCTACACTTTTCCTGCAGTTACAACTTCTTTCCCCGTGTTCTGATTTCTGGTTGGAGAACTGCATGACTGTCTCCCCACCCCCTGCTTCTGGTTCAGGACTCTCCTGTTGTGCTTTTTCAGGATGTCTCTCGGGCCAAGCTAGCGACCATCATTCCAGACCCTGTGGTAGCTCCGTCCATAGTGCCTGTCCTTAAAGATGAAGTGGATAGAAAACCTGAATATCCCAAGCCAGATACACAGCAGATGATCCCCTTTCAGCCAAGACATTTAGCACGTAAGCTGTGGCCCTTCCTGGACCTGCATGTTTATTTTCAGATTTTCAGATGTTTTAGATACAGAGGTGGGGTGGGCAAAATAACCTCCTCATCCAGGCCAGGTGTCTCTGCTGTGGACTGGCTGCCGAAACTCCCAGAGGCCAGCCTCTCACTTTTTAAATAATTCACCGGTACCACTGCAGCCCGCAGACCATCTGTTCCTTATCTACTCAGTTGTCACCGAGGCTCCAATACCACTCACCTGCCTCCCAGGTGAGGTCCCCCATCTGTATGGGGGCAACTGGCTCCACTATCCAGCTGAATCTTGTGGCCCACCTGCTTGCGCCTTTGCACAGAGGCAACAAGGATTTGTACGAATCTGTTTACTCAGAGTCTACAGAGCACTCGCCTTTTTCCTGGTCATCTCCCAAGGTCATCTTACACTCTTCTGTCCCTTTCAGCCCCAGGTTTACACCCTGTGCCTGGAGGGGTGTTTCCAGTGCCACCCGCTGCTGTAGTTTTAATGAAACTCCTCCCTCCTCCCATCTGTTTCCAGGTTGGTTCAGTTTTTCTATTGATTTTTGCCTTTGCACTTTGTGAAAGGGAAATGGGAAGCAACACTATTTTTCTTGCATTGCTGTGGATTAAAATCTTTTCTTGAATGCAGGGTCCTTTTGTGCAAGTAGACGAATTGATGGAAATTTTCCGAAGATGCAAGATCCCAAGCTGTAAGTTCCCAAAGCATAAACTATACAGAGCTCGGCTGTTATGGGGCACTAGGAAGATTCTTAACATTCAAGCCGGGCATGAGGTTGTGAGCAGGCCAAGCACGATGGGAACATTACGTGCACCCCATCTGATACCAAGTACAATGCCATAAAACTCTGTTTTTTCATTTTAATGTGAAGATGAATGATCAGATTTGGTATGTGAAAGTGATTTTTTTAACTTATTTTAAGTGGCACTAAAGTTATTTAAAAATCCAAAGGCAAATGGTTTCTAAAACCTGGCCCAGTTAGGAAATGGACAGGGAAATGGATGTTGTTGATAAAGGAAATTGAGTTGTCTCGTTTAGTAGCGTATCTTCCCTCTTGTTTCTTCATGACAATTTCCACCTTCTTGTCTCTCCTTACAAAGCTGTTGATGAAGCCGTGAGGATCATTACCGGAGGAGCGCCGGACACGGCAGTGGAAGGCAACGGCCCCATGGAGAGCAACACCATGCTCACCAAAGCAGTCAAGCGGCCCAACGAGGATTCGGACGAGGAGGAAGAGAAGGGTGCGGTGGTGCCACCCATCCACGACATCTACAGAGCCCGCCAACAGAAGAGAATCCGGTGAGCCAAGGGCAGCGCTCTCCTGAGGGAGACTCGTGCGCAGATGTCCCTTTGCCTCCTACGTCCTTTGTTTAAGAGACACACTTTGTCATGAGCATCTTGGGAACAAAGTGATGCTGCCACCGGTGCCTCTTTCTATCCAATGGTTCTCAATAAAAACTTTAAAAGCCAACTAGAAGGGTGGGTCTTACAATGTTGAGCAGCTGCGCGCTTTGAGCAAAACTATGTTTTCAAAAATGGGGAAATAGCGCAAAATGTTTGAACACATTTTGTTCCCTCTTCAAGTGTGTCTAGTGACTCACTTGAAGCCTTGTTGGTTTTCAACAGTTTTATTTTAAAAACTGGATGGCTTCTGATTGTGAAACATTTTAATTCACTTGTTCTGGAAGTTACTCTGTTTGCTCATGTAAAGTCCTGCCTTATTGGTTTGTTTTTATTTATGGCAGAATGTACGGAATCTGTTTTGTAGTTTAAAAACGGAAAGAAAAAAAAAAACACCAGTTCTTTTAACAATAAAAGGATCTCCGAAACTCTGTGCCTGTCTGCGTTTATTTAGAAGCAGCTTCTACTTACCTTATATATAGCATGCAGCCAAAACCCTTTTAAAAACGTCAGTAATTTTTTTTCATTTAAATTTTATTTTCTGTTCCAAATTTTCTCCCTCCCCCTTCCCCACCTACTGAGAAGGCAAGACATAGGACAGTCATTATACAAATGAAACCACGTAAAATGTATTTCCCCATTAGTCTCAACAATATGTTTCAACACTTGCAGTAGTCAGTCATCCATCAGTTTCTGTGCCAAATGCAAATACACACTTTACTCAAATGTCCTGTCTTGACTGCACTGAATAGAAAAGGATCTATTTCCCTTCCACAAAAAATTCAAACTTAATTGTGCCATATCCTGAAAATAGCTCTTGAAAGGCATCCTAGGCCAACCTCCCACCATCCTAACCTTTCACCAACTTACTTTGTGTAGCTGGTCCCACGAGCACACTAGAATGTTCCACTATTGTTTTTTAATTAAAATAAAATGACTTGGGAAAGATAGTAAAACCAGTGTTTCACCTGCAGGTGCCCATTTCAGGAGGTCAATGTATGATGGTTTGTTTAATCATGAAACGTGTATTCAGTGTAAGCGATGTTGAATGAACCGAAGCTCACAAAGTTAATTCCACTTATAACAACAGCCATGAAGGTTTTTTCTGTGAGCAATAAGTGTGGAAGGGACTGTTACAGCAGCATTCTGACCTAGTGGCTCATTTCTAGATAAATTAATCTGTTTTGCATTTGATTGGCAGCTGAGCATAAAACATTACAATTCAGAATGAAGGGCTAAGAAAAAACAGGCAGAAAGAGTATTCTATCACATTATTATTGGGCATGCACCACACAATTTACATACAGTAATTTGTCGTTGAGATTTCAGGACACAAAGTCTCACCACTGCAATTGAGCTTAAACAAGAAAAACAATTTTTAACACCAGTTTATTAAACTATTTTCTTACAAGTCTAGATCAAAGCTATAAATATATTAAATCACTAGCATGTATAGTCTCATTATGTTCTCCAGTTAAAGCTAAGGTTGTCAGAATAAATGTGGATGGCTATAGTTCATATTTTGTATACTCTTAAGTTTGGAGGGCATGGAGATGACAGCATCCTTTTCAACCTATGGTTCTCATAGTTTGGTTTGTTAAGCTGTCTACAGTGTCCCAAATGTAGACAGAGCCCCTGCCTCAAGAACCTTGAAGGCACAAGCGGTACCGACAGCAGAGCCTCCCTCAAAGTAGGATGTGGAGGAGAAGCCGAACTGAAGGCTCAGGACAGCTGTGGGTGGATCACGGGGCTGGGGGCAGGTTCCCATAAGCTACATGTGGGATCCAGAGGAAAGAGAACCCACTTTGTGTCAGTGAAGGACTATGGAGTAAAAACCCCACCTCTGACTCTTAATGTGGGCAAAACTCTTTCAATCTCCCTGGGCCTCAGTTTGCTCATCTGTAAAATGAGGAGTGAGACTAGTGGCTTCTGAGGAGCCCCTGCTCTGGAGCTCTGATTCTATCAACAAAACTACATAAAAACCCAGAATGATAGGGAGGTAGAGAATTTGGAACTCAAAATTTTAAAACAACATGTTAAAAATTGTTTTAACATGTAATTGGAAGAAAACAAATTTTTTAAGAAGGCGACAACAACAACAACAAAAAAAAACCCAAACAAACCCAAAATGAACATAGTGCAGCTAAGTAAAGTATGCCCACTGGCCTTTCAGACTGGCCTTGGAGATTGACCTTTGGAAGATCAGGGCCAATGCAGATTTCTAGGATTATATTTATTTATGATGGTGTCTACAGTAACTATTCCTAGGCTTTTTTTGCTTCAGACATTGTTCATTTTCAAATAGGAAGAAAACTTTTCCTAATGTTTTAACTCAGAAGCTATTGTAGAGTTTTATGAATATTTGATAACTGAATTCTTATGTAAACAAAAACTGATTTACAATCAACATTAAAGATTTCTCGGCAAGTTGGTAACTCAAAACTTCTCTTTAAAAGTTTAACTCTCAGGCCCCTATAGTGCTATCACATTAGCCCTCTTGTGGACACGAGCTTTTTCACACGGGTTACTGTCAGACCTGAAAAGTTGCCCAAGAAACAATATTTTTCCAAACAAGGTGTTCACGAGACTAACATAACTAATTTACAGGCAAAACAGAGGACTGTGTAAGCTACCCGGTCAATTCATAATGGTTCCAACAAGAAGACAGAAAATAACCTCATTCACTTCCATCAGCATTAGTGTTGGGGTGATGATTAGGAGCCTTTAATTTTTCTATACTTGTTTAGTTGCCACAACTATAAATCAGATGACAAAGAACAATGAAGTTTACAAATTAATTCTGATTACAATCTTATTCCTAAAGTGAACGATTTGTTTAAATAGCCAATGAAATGGTTGTTGGGATTTCAGAATACTAAATTAAACAATTCATATTTCCTTCTTGGCAATGAGCCTCAGCCACCATTGTGTTCATTTGCCTTCTAACCAGCTAATCAGATTAGCTCTGGCATTTACATCCAGAAGCTAACATACCTAAACCAGCCCTGAAATGTATTTCATAAATAGTAAAACATTTAAATCAGTAAATATTTATTGAATTCCACCGTGGTGGCACACTAAAAAAAAACCTGAGAATTATAACACCTATTATCTATTTTTTCAGGCAGTTGATATTCACTTACATTTACTCATCTTCCAGAAACCTAATTAATAGGAGATGCTCTGGTCAAAATTCTGTGGATCAGTGAAGCTGATATTTTTTAGAACCCAGTAAGGTTGCTTAACTGCCAATAATTATAAGAAAAGAACTTGTACTTAAATACTCCCAGGTCAGGTGGGTCCACGATCTCACTGGTGTGAGTACCTGTTCCACCAGTGTAGACTGAAAGCCATCTGCCCTGTGGGGCCATTCTTACCTACATCTCGGTGCAAATCTTCCAGAGGCTAGTCATACAATGAGTACCTAAGTAATAGCACTAACTGGGTGTCGGAGCGCAGAGCAGTATTGTTGGTTTTTACCCGTAGGGAATGGTCTTCAATGGGAGTTTCCATGGCTTCCTACCATGGACCACAATTCAAGCAACAATCTTTCAAGTCCAGACCAGGAGTGCCCCACAGAATTCCCAATGCAGGAGATTTGGCCATCATCTCGCAGTATGCAGTACAACCAAACTCTCCCGTGACAGCAGACCTCGCTGAAAATTCTGTTACTCAGACCAACCTCTGAATTGGACATCTTGAACCCAGCCCTATGGGCACTTAATGCACAGGCCTAAGCACTGTTTTCTGAAGGCCTGCACCATTGTCTTTGGCAAAGGCAGTTAATTAGGGTAGGCCAGTGTGGGGCGGTTAACATGGCCCTTTGTTGACAAGGGGGGATTAGGAAGAGGAAGAGGGGCTAAGGAGAGACCGAGGCAAAGGGAACAGGGTCGCTGCAGCCCTGGAATGAGGAGCAGGTCAAGCGGAAAGCGGATGGAAGAGTATAACTCAAATAACAGAATCAGTCATACATCAAGCATGTGTGTGTGTCTGAGCTCCACTGGACTTGGAGGTCACACGGTCCCTTCACTTTACAGATGGTAAAACCCAAGTGACTGACTTCAGCAAAGTCAAGGGACAAGCCTGGAACCAAAGCCCTGGTTTCCCGATTCTCCTGCCAGCGAGCTTGAGACGGGGCTGCCTCACAACGAAGGGTCTAATTGTGCTTTCTGAAGCATCACAGCTGAGTCCAGAGTCAGCAGCAGCAGGCCTGGCCTCCCTGCCTCCCCAGGTCTTACCTGACAATAGTGTTCCTTCCCCACTCAACACCTTCATGTGGCACTCTTACTACTCTGGCAGTCTCGAACAAACATCACTTTACCTTCCTGGTCTTCAGGCATTCAGTATGTAAAAATGAAGACTCAGTGAATTCTAAGGTGACTTTACCTCCAGCTGCTAGTACATTCTCCTACCCCCAGGCAAGGTTGGGGGGCCCTTTCCCAGCAAAAGCTGGGGACCCCTGGAAGCTCTAATTATGAACCAGGGACAGCCATTATTAGATGCCTTCATCATTGGACATCACTGTCGCACCCCAATGATAAATCTATGATTTTCACACTGACCCACATCCATGCTGTCTTTACACTGACATTTCCACTTGGATTTTAAATTCACACAAAGAATCCTGTCTATGGAACTGCAGCATTTCTTTAAAAGAAAGGAACCACCTGCTGACAGACAAGTGGTGGACTTGGGGTGCGGGAGGAGACACACATTTTTCAGTCATGGCCAATGTAGGAATTTATTCTTCTTGACTATGCATCTTTGTTTAAAGAGCTCTGTTTTTCTGCCTTTCTTTCCCAGGAGGGTGGAGAGGAGAAAAAATAAAATTTTGTTAACGGAAAAAATCAAATTAAGAAATAAACAAAATGAGATCATAAGCTACTACTATGCATATGGCAGAGTGGAAAAAAACACCCCACATAGAGTCTGAAGACCTGAGGCTCTGAGTCCCAGCCTTGACCCTTTTTTAGATGTATTGACCTTGGACAAGTCATTTCTCCTCCCTAAGCCTCAGTTTTCTCATCAGCAAAATGGGGACAAGAACATTGCCATCACCCACCTCTAAACCCTGTGCTGCTGGCCATCATTCACTTATCCGACCATTGCCCACTAGGGGCCTGCTTCTTATAACTCCCACTCCATTTTTACAGATCCTGAAACAAAACCTCACATGCCTGCAACATGCCCACTGATCCCAGGATCCCAGAGCTAGGGGTTCTGGAGGTCATCTGGTCCAAGGCCAGTGTTTTCCAGGGCAGGGGCCCATGAAGGCCGAGTGACCTGCCCCAGGTCTCACAGGTAGGAAGCATCAGGAACCCAGGTCCTCTCTCCAAAGTCAACGTTCCTTCCACATTACCAGTCTCTGTCCCTGCCAAGGCGAGCTTGGCCATTTCCAGAAAGGGCTAAAAGACAAAAGAATTCAGCCCCCTCCACCTCCCCCCACCATGGCATCAGTCAGCACAGGCCTGGTTTGTTGTCACTGTGCAATGACCCAATTTAGCTAACTGAAAACCTTTCACGGCTAAAGGGTTTGTAATATCACCCCATCTCAATGTTAACTCCGTGAGAACTCCAGAAGAAAACTAATCCACAAAACCACCGATGAAAAGGCATCAGGAAACCCCACAGACATTTGGATTCTCAGTGTTGAGAGAGCCCACAGTGACCATCTAGGCTGACTCATCTTTGCATGGGAAATGACTCTAGTATCCCCAGCCAGCCTGTTTCAGGCACCCAGGGGGCTCAGCCGGCCTCCCCAACCTTCCTGTGATCTCCCTAGGCATCAACACTCCAAACCATCCCACATTCACCCCTGAGGAATCACTAGCAATGAATAAGGACGCAAAATACTTTAGGAAGGTAAAAAAAAGAATCTTTTTTGCCCCTACCTTCAACCAGAACCACAGGGCAAAAGTCATCTGCATCATTCTGGTAGCTGTATTACTTTCGGGGGGAGAAGGTTAGGGCCTTAACTGTCAGGAGGGAGAATTACCCACCAGAACAGAGGCCCAGAAAGCAGCTCCATTGGGGAGTTCCCCTTTTGCTGGGGGGAGTCACCAGAACCAGAAAAGAAAGGCTCCTGACTTCTTTGTTCCATAATGTTGCTTGGTCTGACCTCCCTCTGTGTCCATCACTCCAAAACACTGGCCCCCATCCCTCTGGCCTTTTAAAAGAATCCCCCCACCCTGAGCCGGCATGGCTACACTGTCAGAAGCCACCTCCGGGCCTGCCACTGCCTCTTTATCACACAGCAGTTTCATTTGGGGAGCTACGGATTTTTGAGGCAGCTGGGTGAGAAGTAAACACCCTGGATTTGGAGTCAAAGAACCTGGTTGGACCCCAGGCTCTGCTGCATAATGACCCCCAAGACCCTGCACAAATCACTCCCCTCTCTGGGCCTGTTTCTTCATCTACACAACCAGGAGGTGGAAGCAGAGACCTCGGGGGTCTTGTTGGTATGAATGAGGATTTCACAGGAGCTCCTTTCCCTCCAAGATCCCCTACGGACACCCCCATTCTCTGTCACCTGGATGCTGCCTCGAACAACGTGCAGACCGTCCACCTGGGGTCCTCAAACTTGGTTTGTTTTTTTTTTTTTTAATATTTTGATAGTAGCATTTGTAATTGCTTTCCTTTGTAACCCTATTTAATTTACTTTATGCATATAGAAGCAGCATTCTGAGAATGGGGCTTCCCTGCGCGAAGATCTGCTTTGCTAGAAAGGGCAGACCTAGTGCACAATGGCTGGGTTTTCTAGAGGCACTATCTAGGGCTGTGAGAGGGCGAGAGGGACAGACGGCCTCGTGGCTGAAAGGGTCCTGTTATTCGGCCCTCATCGCCCAGTCATCCGGAATCTACTGATGCCGAGTTTGCTCTTTTTTCCCCCTCACTCTTCCAACAAGAAATGGGAGCTAAAGGATAGCCCTGTTTGAATTTCATGTTCTAAAGCCGTCACCTGCTACCTTTGTCTATTTCCTCCTCTGCTCCTGGGGCTTCACCCAACTCCTTTGTGCAAACTATGGGAACTTCTGAAGTCTGCATGCCAACGGGTAGGATTTAGGCTGATCCAGCGGGTTGGGTGTCAACCCCCTCGGGTATTTGCTTCCCTCCTGGCTCCCTTCCTGCAACACCTACCTGCCTACCACCTCCCAGGGCTCAAACTGGCTGCTTCTCTAAGCCTGCTCAGTCCCCGCCCTCCAGCATCGGGGCCTTCCTGGAGCCGTTCCCCAGTATTTCCCAAAGCTCCTGGTTCCTCTCCTGCTGGTCAATGGTCTGCTTTAGCCCTAAAATCCTATCCTTTCTCTATTTCCCCCAAAAATTCCACGAGAAGTTATTTAAAAGTTGCCTTGAATGAGATTTTTAGAACCTGAGCGATTCAGGGGAGTTTTGGACTTTGAGAGCAGGACAGCCCCATTACTACAGCTTATTCTTGCTTTTATACCATTGGAGCAGAGCTGAACCAAATCTCAGACACAAAAGGAACAGGGATCCTGTCCCTGATTACAGCATCACAGCCGACACCTAGGGGACAGTGAGGCCGGTCCTGCTCCCAGGTCTCAGGTCAGGTGGGTGCCAGCAGTGGAGTACCTCCCAACCAGCAACGCCAATGCTGGGCTACAGAGTACATATATTTAAAATGTCAAGCCCATGAGACAGCGCAGGACCCCAAGCAAAGAGAAGCCTCCATGGTATTCTCCATGGTACCTATTTACTGCCCAGGGAGCAGGTTCAAAGGACAGTCTCTAAAGCTAGTGCGGCATCTGGGACAAAGGTTGTACGCGTCCCATTTAACCTCATCTGCAAGAATTGAGGAGCATTTAGTGAGCTTAGAAAATTCAGCCCTCACCCCAAGACCCCAGGACTCATCACTCCCAGCCTCTCTATTGTACTGGAAAGTAAGATCTCAATCTAAGTCTCAAGGGAAAATCCTACCTCTTCTGTCCATCTTCGGAGAGATATCAAATTTGCATCTTTTCCCCCCTAAAAATTAACCCCAATTCCAAGCACTCCAAAGAGTCGAAGAAATTTCTCTTCTCCAGGCCCCAGGGGTCTGAGTTGCCATAATCCAGGCTTGGGGATCATTCTATGGCAAAAAGTGATGTCCTGGTAACCAGAAAAAAATTCTCTAGAAAAATGAGAATCCTTCCAGCGCCCAGAGGGCCCAATTGGCCTGGGACGGAGCATCCCCAGCAGGAAAACCAGGAGAAACAGCAAGGCTAGAGGTAATTTTCCCTGTAGTCTAGCTCCACTCAGGGCTCTCCAGGGGCAAGCATCTTACACCGAGCTCGCTTGAACTTTTCCTGCCTATGCCCACTGAATGTCTAGAGCAGAAGCTACCCTGGCCCCGGGAAAGATGGTGAGCCTTCCAGCGGCAAAGGTATATCCTGACATGGAAGAGGTGGTGTCAGCTCAGCTCCTTCTGAGCCCAGCTTTCTCCTGAGAGCTCACAAGAACGGAAGTTCCTTCAGCTTGTAAACATTCACTCATAAGTACGTCCAGCCCCCCCCAGAACGGAATTCGGTGTACAATCATCTCTTTTGTTGTTGTCCTACGGTGACACGTTTTCCCTTTTAGCGTCAATACTGAGAAAGAGGAATGTATTAAAGAGAAAGCCATTTTCCAAAGCAACGCTACAGTAGAGGAGAGGGGTGGGTAGCCAACTAAATAAACAGTGTTGCTGCTGCCGCCGGCAGGGGTCGGGGCCCTCTACAAGCCAATGGAGACACGGGAGCCCTCTGGCTTGAATATCTTAGTGAGGACGGCGTCGTAGTAAGGACTGAAGACCATTCTGTTGTAGTTGACCAGACGTACAAACTTGACAGCCACCTCTTCCAACTCTTTCTGGATAGGGCCTAAGCCCCCAGGAACTGCGGGGAGGGACCTCTGGAGACCAGAGGCAAGGTACGCCTCCAAAAAGGCCTGAATTCTGGCATCTGAGACGGAAACAAAAGAGAGGTCATCATGACACGGGAGAATGAAGGGACCGGCACCGACAGGCACACAGTGCCTGCCTACTACTGAGTGCGGGCACTACACGGACATCAAAACCCGCCTGGGGAGCCGCCCTCAAAGTAATGCCAGAAGACATGCTCATGGCCCATGCCACCAGTCAATGCCTACCCAGCCCCTGCCCACCCGCAGGTCAGAACAGAAACAGAGCCTTTCTCCAACAGTCCTAGTGCCTCACATGTCAAGCCACAAAAAACAAGAGAAATTGGAAGGACAGCAGCTCTTGAGACTCTGCCTTGGAGTTGATTAAAGAGATTAACAGTCAATATTAGATACTTGTGGGCAGGCAGGTACATGGATACATTGTTGGTGGACCTGCAAATCAGTCTGAGATCCTGGAAAGCAATTGGGAATGATGTTAAAAAGTGATTAAAAGTTTCACTACCCTTTGATCCAGTGATGGCCCTGAAGGGCATACATCCCAGGCAGGCCATAGGCAGAGGGAAAGTCTAACACACACTGAAATGTTGACAGAAATGCAATTTGAGGAAGCCAAATCCTGGGAGACATCATGACTATGCATGTGACACTCAGGACTGTGAAGGCTTGGATAAACTGAGGCAGAGTGAAGTAAGCAGGAACAGGACCACAATGATGTAAATACAGCTCTATGGTCAGGTTGGGCTTTCTTGGTACAAGCCTTAAAGTCTATGGGGCCGCCATGATGATGTTCATAGAGTGAGAAGCAGAAGGGACCTCAGAAGAGCAAACCCCTCATTTTAGAGATGCAGAGCATTCAGGGATCTGCCCTAAGTCACACAGGAAATAACAAGCAGGATTTGAACCCAGGTCCTCTGACCCTACACCTAATACTTCAATGACAAGTGCCTCAGAGGCTCAGGCTTCAGGAAACCATGCACTGTTTATTCTCAGTCTTCCGGGGCCAACAAGGACATTCACCTTGTCCTTGGAACAGAGACACTGGCATCAGCCCAGTCTTTGCTGAATGACCCCATTCTAAATGACCCCATGATTACCATTCAAAACACAAACATGGTCAACAGTCTACTGTCAGACACGCCCATTGTTGGAAATGACGACTGTCATGGCTGCCCTTTGCCACCAATGGCAATAAAGTTCTTAATGACAGTCCCTGCTGTGCCTTCTGAGTCATCAGACTTCCCTGACAAGAATGTTTTATGAAATTCCAATCCTCTGAAAGCGGGAAACTCTCACTTAACCAAGGTATTAAATCCTACAAGAGTAGCCACACCAGTGAAAAGTATTTGTCATTTGTCGTCACTCGGCCAGCCTCCAGGTAGGATAGCCATCGTGATACTCTTTACTTCCACCAGAAAATCAACCCAGTGAATGACAAAGAGCATGACACATGGAGTCCAAGGTCCCAGGGTCCCAGCCTGGCTTGCCCTGGACAACTCACTGCTCTTCTTGGGCCCTCAGTTTCATCATCAGTAAAAACAGGGCTTAGCCTAATTTAGGGGTCTTTAATATGGAATTTGTGAGCTTTTTAAAAAAGTGTTTTTAGAACTGTATTTCAATATAATTGGTTTCTTTTGTAATCCACTGTATTTCATTCTGTTCCTTTAAAAGCACTATTCATAGAAGGGGCTGTAGGCATCTCCAGACTGCCCTTGACATACAAAAAGATTAGGACTCCTCAGCCTGGATGGCCTGCCAGTGCTAAGTCCCATGATCTCATACAGTGGTCCCCTCTCTGCCTCCCACCCCCACTACCACGACCAAGGTCCCATCAGTCAGCGAGCTCCCCATAGGAAACATACCCAACTGTTGTCAGGACCCTCCCAACATACCCACAAGCTTGCGAATGGGGTCATCAGGGCTGGCAATTGCTTGGATCTGTCCTTTGAGGGCGATCTCCTTGTCCACACTCAAAGGGGTGAATCCACACTGGGCCAGGCAGCCAGCCACCTCCACGCACACTTTCTCCCCAATGGTGGCAAGGGCTTCATTCAGATTAAAGGCTCTAGAAAAGAAATGGGATGAGAAGGAATCAGCTGGGGGCTGGGGAGGGTGCAGACATATCGCTAAACACACCCAGACACCAGAGCCACTCAGCCCGTGCCTCTGAAGAGAGCTGAAGTACCTGATGAATGTGCTTAGTGCTGCCAGAAGACGCCTGGAGTCTCCTCTCTCCCTCCCAAGCCTGTCTTAGTGAATTCAGGACCCACTGAGGACATTCTGGTTCTCTGTCTTCTTCCCAAAATCAGGAGGAAGGGGAGAGTCTGGTAGTACTGGATTCTACATAGAGAGGCTGGGGCCCATGACTATGATCTTTGTCATTAAACCTGGCTTTAAATGGAACCTAAAACCTCTCTATTGTCTCCAGTTTCCAGTAGCATCCGGGGGCAGTCTCCACATTGTGCTTGGCTTCTGCTTTCTGTCGTTAAGGCACCTGGGGGCCAAAGGGTGGGACATTCAGAGGAAAGAAATGGTTTCATTTGTTTCTATCCAGTCACCGATTTGACCTCACCAGCGGCAGTTAAAAGCGCAGGTATGGGTCCTTTATGGAGTCACGTACTCTCCTAAAGACCCAAACCCTGTGGAATGTGACCAAGCACAAAGCTGGAAGGAGGTCTGGACAAGCCATCTGAGTGGAGAGCTGGATGCCCAGGGGGACGCAGGGGAGTGGAGGGGAGGGGGCAAAAGGGAGAGGGAGAGAGAGAAGGAGGGAGGGAGGGAGGAAGGAAGAGGGAGGGGAAATGGCAGAGGGAGAAAAGGAGAGCTGCACTTTTAAACAGATGAAAATGATGATGAGTCATCCCTTGGATTCCCAGAGGTCAGCTCCCTGACCAGGTTCCCAGGAGGTGCGTGCTCAGGGTATCATTCCTCTTACCCTCCTGACGAGGATTCATGAAGAAAGGCTGAGCTGTCCCTGGTGCCACCCCACACCTCCCTGGTCACTTACGGCAGATGCATGTCTGTCAGCAGGACCTGCACAACCATCTTGAGTTTCTCAGCAAAGCCTGCGAGGCTGGACACTCCTGGGGCTGAGGCACTATAGGTGACCAGCAAGGTTGCCCCCACTACGCTGAGCCTCTCGAGCTCCTGCTGCATCTCCTGGAAGCGGGGCTGGTCCATCAGGACAGTCTACAACACAACAGGGCAGCCATCA